CTAGGATACAATATTTGATCTTCCCATCGGCAATCTCTCATGCACAAACAATGGTGTTCAAGCAAGTGGCAGCTACCTGGCATTTCACGTGGAAGGAGAAGGTTGCTAACGTATTTCAATCGTATTTTTGATTCCTAGACTATCGATTCAAATTACGCAAGTACTGGTGTTTGCTTTCTTGAAAAGTGAATATTTTGATTCCGAAACACTTCAGGAGGAAAACTAGGCGCTTTACCGATCAATGCCAAAGGAAGAAAACTGAGAAAGGATATGTCCATTGTATGTGCACATGCAGGCTAGTTACATCTTTCTTATTACTGCTTTTGGTGTGTTCCATGCAGCTGGCTCCTATTCCATAAATCATCTGCCGATTTAGATCAAATAGATGACTTCTGCTTCATGACGTTTAATGACGATCTTCTAGTAACTTGCAGCCGGGATGATAATGTTAGTCAATTTTCGTTTTCATTTTCCTTCCTATACATTTATACGCTCGTCTCTGTTTTTTGTCCAGTTGCTCGTCATATGTGACAGCATCTTTGCTTCCTTCTGCTGTAACGTCAAAGTATCGTTTAAGGTGAAGATCTGGCGCCTTTCTGGTGAAGAAGCGACAAATTCCCTTGAGTGTGAAATACATGTTGGAAATGGGGTACTTTTGGATTCGATCAAACCACATTCTACAGCCTCCAATATTATTGCTGCCGCTTCCCTTGGCGACGCTTACGTCATTGACATTGAAAGGAATGTGGTTGCCACGAGTGAGTTCGCTGCCATATTTCATTTGATAGATCAGTTTAGTAATGAAAAGTCTCAAACAAGATGATCAATTTATTCGCGAGTGCGACTCAACCCATGCGCAATCATTCCTCTCACCTAGTGATAATTTTTCAAACGGAACCAGCTGTATTACTGTGACACCTGAAAGGCTTTTAGAAAGTTTCCTAGCATCCATCGCAGCACCTTACAAGAACTCCAACCCGCGACATAATACCAATGAAACGACAGCCTTAGCCTCATTGCGTTATTAATGGAAGTTCCACAATTGAGGTGCAGTTGAGTATGAAAGCGTTGACAGATTAAGTCATAAGGATCGCAGCATGGTAGTTTTTGTTTTCCTTCTCGCGCAAATGCTTCGAGTGGTCACAATTGCGGCGTAGAAAATTATATGCATAATTCAGTTTCCGAAAACAAACAGATTTCGGCACCGCCTTGGCGTCTATGAAGTGACCAATTCTTTAAGGTCACTTCACAGACGCCGGGGCGGTGCCAAGGTGCGCTGGAGCAAGACATGTGGTGGAGGGCCACGTTTTATGTGGCGTGTCGTAGAAGGGATTGAATTCACATTTTTGAGTAGATACAAAACGTTTTAGATATAGATATGGATGCAATAGAACAATGAAATTTTTAGCCGTATGTGAGGAGGCCAAAAAGGTTTTTTTTGTGATGTTACCTCGAGAAAAATTGGAATCCTCCCGCCGCCAACATTATGATAGTATCACAGCGTAGTTCGAAAGGGTGTTCGCTTTCCTATATACGGATTGTTCACCAAACAAGTACCAAACAAAAGCAATTACTGGGTGCCTAATTACAAGGATCATCTAGTGACCAGGCATCTGCACAAATTGACAACGATCTAATTGTTTAGGTGTATCGTTTGGATTTGTATTGTTTTTATATGGGTTCTCCACAAGAGGGAGTAAGAAAAAAGCTCCTAAAGTACTTTACTTAGAGCTCGATGGTTTCGTGGACAAAGGCCAATCGCTGGACTGGAGTGAAGACGGAAAGCTCCTAGCAATCAGTGCTGACAAGGGGCGTGAGGTTAGCCTTAAAATCATGTACTTTCGACTTCGATTGTTTTTTCAAACATGAAAACGTCATCACCATTTTAATGATCTTCAAAATTCTCTTCAAATTTTATTTCTGATCCCTCAATAATGTCTATAAGCTTTTCCGTTTCTAAGACATGCAGTATCAGGCAGCCACCATTTTGAATTTTGATTTTTAAGCTAATTTAATCTTTATTCTGGTCCAGGTCTGCGTTTATGATGCACGAAGTGGAACGTCTCCGATTCAGCGGTTGGCCGTTCATCAAGGATTGGGCCGTGAATCACGGGTGTTGTTTTGCGGAGATCGCCTACTTTCCAGTGGATTCACTAGTGTAATTTTTTCATTCTTGTGCTCAATATTTTGTTATGGAGCCCCATAGGCACTGCTGTATTTGCTCATGTGAATGTTAATACAAGAGCGCTGCAGATTATCATCCTGCATGTTCTTCATAGTGATGTCAAGTAGTGAGGGGAAAGCTACTTCGGAAACTTTTTGTTGTTTGGTCGATTCGAAGAAAGAAATTTTGTTTCAGAAACGAGCCCAGGAAGTACACGTGTTGGATGTGGGCAAGTGGGATAAACCTGTACACACTCAGGAATATGTTTCAACTACAGGAGTTTTGATGCCATTTTACGACCCCGACACAAAATTAGTTTTCCTTGTTGGTAAAGGGACGAACAAGCTGTTCATTGCGGAATTCCAATCTAAAGTGCCATATCTTTCTCCAGGTTAGCTTTCTTTCATTCATTTCTTTCATTCATTTTTCTTTTGTCTGATTGGTGCTTTTTTCTGTATCCTGAATCGAATTTATCCATTTTTGCAGTTTATGAGATGTCTCTTGCCGAACAGAATCTCGGTGCGTGTTTGGGTAGCAAGCGGAACGTGACCGTTATGGATGGTGAAGTGGATACTTTGTATCAGCTCACAAAGCATTGCATACTACCAATACCATGCATAGTACCGCGTAGGGTGAGTCTGCTTATTCTTCAGAACGAATACGGTTTTGTCATTCTATCTATTATTTATCATCGTTTTTAACATTTTTATCATCTTTTATCGTTTTGTCGTTATTATGCTTCACAATAATTGTTGTCATGTCAAGGCTCTTTGAATTCAGAGGCTACTTCGGATTGTTTATTTCTTCTTTTATTATTATTGCATTTCTTTTTGGCTTTGACAAACATAATTTATTCAAGACGTTGCTTTTGTTTCCTCTTTACCTTTTTTCACTGGAGACACCCCTGTGATTGTCTCTATAGATTTTAACAACCACTCAGCTTATACTCCTTAACCTTTCCCTTATCCCAGCTGCTCATTTTGGGTGGAAGAAAATCTGATCCAACAGAGTGATTACGCACCTCCAGATCAGAAATCTGAAAAACATTCACATAGATCTAGCAGCCATCATCATTTTCTCATGGTATTTGTGTTTGAAAACACCATTCTTTTTGTTAATTGGCACCATGGGCGGAAGTGGTGTAGTGACAAGTGGCGCGCTCACCACGCGAGCGGTCCGGGGATCAAATCCTGGGTCGTGAGTCGCCCGGGCCAACCAAGCCTTCCATCCCTCCGGGGTCGGTTAATTGGTACCAGACTTGTCTGGGAGGATAAAAAACAAAAACTTGGAAGTAGAATGCGTGCCGCATCCCAGAAAGGGATTGATCAACGGCAAATGCTTTATCCTTTATGCTTCAAGAGCACCATACTCAGATAAGGCAAATTATGTGGTTTAGAAAGAGATTCACTATTTTTAGTTCACCCTCAGTTTTTTTTTCATATATCACCATAAAACGTTGCAGTCTTATCGCGATTTCCACGCGGATTTATTCCCGGATACTCGAGGTCCTAAAGCTGGCTGCACATCTGCCGAGTGGCTGGCTGGCTCCAATGCACTCGTGAGCTTTCTTTTTTTGTCAAGAATATGTGGTCCCATGCTTCCAAATATACATTTCTGACCCACTATTATGTAATCGTTATTTGCAAGCGTCAAACACGTTTTTTTTTCAGCCTGAAAAGGTGTCGCTTGCCCCGAATGGGACCAGTGGTCTACCACACGTGTTGAATCAGACACCATCTCCTCTTTCACCACCAGCTGCTTCACCTACTATCAAAGAGACTCCGAAACCTGTAGTGCAACCTGTTATATTGCCTAATACTGAACGCCCACGTGCCCAAACGCAGCCTTCAGGGTTTGTAGGATCGGGAACACTATCTGATTCGGTGTCTCAGACTGTATCAACACTGAAGGTAGACTGAACGTTTCTGTTTAGAGTAGCTCTTTCAACTCATGTGAAAGCTTTCAGACCAAGATCAACTTGAAGGAAGACAAAGCTGATGTGAAGGAGCTTGTTTATACGGTTGATGACAACTCCGAAAAAGAAAACGACCTGAAAAAGGTACTTATTGAGAAATTTTCAAAAGCGTTGAACATTCAATACAAGCAGACGTTCTGTTTGTATTATCTGTACAGCAGTAACATATCTAGTAGCCGCTCGAGCGTCATTATCTGCGAAGAACCGACGTATTATTGGCCTCTGAGTTCCTTCCCAATTTTCGATTCCCGGAAGCTGTTGAACTTCCTATAATTCTATTAATAACTCATATACCGGTTCATTTCCAGCTTCGTTGTTTGCTTTTGGGTAATTGTGTATGTATGTTCATTTTCTGAGGTCTTCTTACTTTTCTGCTGGCTCATTTTCGCCTACCGCTCTGCAGCTGAGGATTCTTGTGTAGAGCTGGTTGGCCACACTAACATTAATTTATGTATGGGTAGATATTACAACATAGTTCACTCTACGCACTTGTAGAACAATTCAGCACCGAAACAATTTCATGGCGCGCTTTTTGGGACATTGTGCGCCCCATTGTCAATTGTGTACGATTTGAAAAGAGATCTGATGAAGGACTCAATTGCCCCCAGTTGCGTTCAATAGGAGCATTAACTTCGTACAATTACCATAAGTATTCCCTTTCATACATGGAAATGCTTCATAAAAGTTTTTTTGCAGAAAAATGAACCGCCTCATAAGTCGTCAGAGCTTGTTGGATGCCCTAAACTGGAACGCTCTTCTTCAGCGGATCAACCAATCGTTACACCGATGCCTGACCCTCCTATTAGGATTCGCCAGCTGAACAACAAAAACGGTACATTCAGTTTAAACTGCGTTTGAAGCAGCTTTTTAACACGGAGTGTTACAGAGCTTTCGGGCCGTTCAATATCAGCACGTGTTCGTCCCAAATCCTGCGTTGTAGGTGTTGTGGCCTCCAAATTTCGTCATGTTGAAACTTTGATTGGACCCGAAGGCTAATAATACGATATTCACAAATATCCGAAATGTGAATACACAGCTTCCACTTGAGACGAACGGCGCCTGCACCAGCGGAAAGGTAGTTTCCTTTTTTTCTGCGAACAATTTCGAAGTTTGTTCTGAAATTTGCCCGTTTAGTTTGTTGCTGTACCTCTGAAAGGACCAGCAGGCGTTGTGGGTATCTACGATGTCGAAAAACCAGGAAAACTTCCTGATGGAGTCATGGATGGCATATTCAACAAAGCGCAGGTTTGTTTCAATGGTTGTGCCCTGACAAATATTTCTATATACGTACACATGTGTTTCTTGGACCTGTTGTGGGCTTTTATACTTTTTTTTTTACAAAATCTCACAGAAAGAACTGTGAATGTACTTCAGGTCACGGATCTTCACTGGAACCCTTTTGATGATGAGCAGCTTGCTGTGGGAACTGATGTTGGGCTTATAAACTTTCTGGCGGTTAACGAGAGATGATGGACCAAGAAATGAGATGCACCCTGAGAAAGTGATGAACATTGGAGGCGAGAAGGTGAGTCTTCTTGTGTTCCCTTTGAGAGTAAATCTAGTCATTTTTCGCCCATATAGTTAGAACACTAACGCTGTCGTACCTCAACTGTGTGCCATACGTAGTAACCAACACTGAACACATCACAAAAGTAGTCTACTGGCAGCAGATGGTAGGTGTTTGAAAGGGGCTATGATGGACTTTTTGAAGGTTTTGTGCTTTCAATGGCATCCAATGGCTTCTGACTTACTTGCGGTTGCTCTCTCAGACAATTCGATCGAAATATGGGAGTCGAAGACATTAACAAGGAGAAGGAGGTAAGCTCATCGGTGGTTCAATTGCTTTTGGTTAACGATCATTTTGATTCAGAATAGTGTCACATTCTGCGCCCGTGATGGCGCTTGGATGGAGCTCAGATGGGCATCGGCTCGTCTCAATCGGTAAAGATCTCATGTTGAACGTGCATCAACCGCAGCTCGGCGATGAGTGCCTGCTCGCACAGAAAAAGGTTTGATTGATCAAATATTTCTTTCGAGCGTCTAGTTCTTCAGTTTGTTTTACGCTTCAAAAACTGGCGTCCATAGCTGAAGACTAGAAAAAAATGGGTGAAAGGGAAAGCAAGACCTTGCTCAGTTTCTTCAAACCTTTCTGTTCTTACCTATTCTGTTCGACGTATACCTAACCTTTGACAGGTGATCGATCGTGCACACTCTGGACGAGTACTCTATGCGTGCGATGACCGTCTTATTGTCGTCGTAGGGATGACAAGAAAGTTCTTCGCCGTTCAGGATTGTGTTGTCTGTATATGCTTCTAATTACTTAACTGTTGCTCCGCCTTTGCATCGAGTTTTTCTGAGAAATCAGTTGCTTTTTTCTCCAATATATTGCTGTGCTTTCATTTATTTTTCTATTGTTTCTGTAGGTGCAATTGTTCGATGCCTCTTCTTTGAACGAGATTTATACGCAGCAAATTGACAGCGGCACCCAACCACTTATTCCTCATTACGACTACGACTCATCCGTGCTGTTCCTTAGCGCCAAGGTGAACCGATTACTCATTTTTACACACATATTTCCTTTCTAATCGCTTTTTTTTTCTTCCAGGGTAATCGTACTATTAACATGTATGAGGTCAGCTGCGATTCTCCATATCTCCTGCCGCTTACACCATATACGGCTCCTCTTATTGGACAAGCAATTGCGTTCCACAATAAGAAAAGGTTAGTTTCAAATGATTTGCCGATGAAATAATCTTATTTGAACGATTATTAGGGCGGGTTATTGCAACATACGGGGCATTGTGGTGTTAGTGCATTAAAAATCGTGTAAAACATCTCCTTTTTGTTACAAATAAGACTCAGACTTAAGAAAGGGAGAGCGACTTTACGGTGTGCCGAGTAATTTCTTGTTCCCCAAAGCTTTTTTCCTCTTAGTCTGGGTCCTAAAGGATGCCCTCCGTGCATTACGATAGCGACGCATTACTTTTTCAATGAGTAAGTACCTTTCTGAATTGACCGTGCGATTGAACAGTATCTTGATCAGGTGCGACGTTATGGCTGTGGAATTTCAACGTGCCTGGCGTCTGACTGAGAGGACTCTGGAGCAAGTTATATTCAGAGTACCAAGAGTTAAGGTAAGGAAGGGTTTCTTGAAATTCATTATTCTGTTTTGAATCCACCTATTCCGTTTCAATCTTAATTTTTTGTTTGAAAATATTTCAATGCAGCAGTTAGAGTTGAGCGCTTAACCTGCTGAAGAGGTGCTTAACACACAGCTGAATGTGTCCTTTTTAGAAAGACGTCTTTCAATCGGATCTCTTCCCTGATGCTCTAGTTACCTGGCGACCAGTTATGACTGCAGAAGAATGGCTAGCCGGTAGCTCGAAGACGCCACAATTTGAAAGTCTAATGCCCGAAGGGGTTTCTGCATTAGGTGGGTCTTGTGCATTCTTGATCTAACCCAAAGTGCTAACAAAGAAATTTAGCAATTACTATTTTCAAAGAATTGCAAACTAACCTAAGGGATTTTTTCAGCCAAGCCTGCACCATTCGTAGCTCCTTCTCGAGCTCCTCAAAAGCCGTTATTGTCTAACCTGGAGCATGCACATGAACCGAAGATTGAACCAGATCGAAAAGAAGTGAGGCTCCGTTCCGGTTACAAATTCTTTTTATTGTTCTCCGCTAATTCTCTATTTTTAAGGTGCAAAATAGCTGGTCAGCTAAAATTGTAGAAGATCGCACTTTGGAACAGGATGAAATGGAAGGTGTCTCAGAGGAGGAATGGACAGAAGCACTTTAATTGTGCAGAATATTCGCAAAAGTTTGAGGTGTTTGTTATTTCGATTACGACATCGTGTAATCTTCCGAGATTGTTTACATTGTTGTCTTCATTGCTTTCTAGGATCATGATATTGTGTTTTATTTTTTTTCAATTTATTCCAATGTAATAATTGCGTTTCTCAGTACCGCTTTGTCGTGCAGTGTATTGGTTTTACCGGTTCCCAACTAGGACATGATTCAAAGATCAAAGTAGCTGCTTGAATCAAATATTCGCACTATTCACGCCGTCTAGTCAGAAGTGAGCTGTGAAGATAACATATTTGCTCAAGTGCTACATATTCTCCTTAACAAGTGAGTCCTTGTTGGTGCTTTGAATCAAGATATGTTTGTGGTAGGAGATCAAGTATATTTTCAGTCTAATAGGAGATATTGTAAAGTTAAGAAATCGTTCATATTCATTATTCAGTTTTCTAGTCTTGTCATACCTTGTCTTCCCCTTGTCTTGTTTTTTCTTCCACAGTTGTTCTACCGATTCTCTTACAAGGACGAGCACTTGTTTTCGTTATTTCACTTTCATTGTTTTTAAATTCCATTTTCGGTTGTAATCAACGCATCATTCTGAAGTAATTGTACAGCGGTACGTATTTGCTATTGCGATGTATTTAAACATTCATATTGTTGTGCATCCCGAATAGTAAATGCTACCATACATTATACTTTAGTGTAATCGATTTTTTATACTGGTTCATCAGTTTTGTTTTGTATAAAAAGTGTGTGCTGAGTAAAGAGCTTTTGTACGTTAGTAAGAATGGTTGCTAAGAGACGTTTCAGCGCTCTACTAGTCAGAATATACCTTTAGATTTGAAAAGGGCTATGACTTCAAACGTGACAATACGTGGCGATGTCTCGAGAATTGCCACCACATATGGATTTGTGCTTTTTGATGCTCAAGGTGCCGTCTGAAATCCTTCCTGGCTGAGCTCGCGAATAGGACATGTATGGTCTCAGAAAACGATTATAAGTCTCTTCGTGGGTAAACCTTACCGTCGGTGTTTCTTAGAAATTTTTACGACCTCACCCCTCGCTCTTCGGGGGTTTTGATACGAC